ACTCCTATTATCAATTGCAAAATCATTGGACACTTTTGAAGAGTAAGCAATACGATAGACAAAGAGAGGGTATGCTGAATTCGGTTCACTTTCAGAGTGGATCAATAATAAAATACAAAAATAATGAAAATATCAAAAAAAACGAAAAAATAAAAAATTAATAAAAATAGGCAGCTTAAAATCCAAAATGAAAACAAAACAAAGTCCGTATTTTATGTACTTGTGCCAGTAGACAAAACTTTCAATAACTTAATCATTGTTTGCAAACACTATAACAACTCCTGCTTTCCAGGAAAAACAAGATAACCAAAAAATCCCTATTTGAATTTTTATTTTGAAAGACGAAATACTCCTAACATTTTACTTCCTTGAGTGCCATTAAATCAGTATACTTCAGGGTTGAAATCAATTGAATGAAGGACTCGAAAGTAATCCCTTCAGCGCTGTCGTTCTCGTTTATGAGAACTTTCGTTTTAAAGATAAGAGAACGTCACCGTAAAATATCGTTTTGAACTTTCGAAAAAAACTCCACAAAGGCCAAAAAGAAAGAATATTGAGGAGAAACTATACATAATTGAGCTCTTCGTCGACGATTTATTTACTGAGTTCGTGATAAGATTTTCAAGTAGATTATAGGTATGCCTATGGGACTAGATTGTATGCCTCTTCAGGCCTTTTTTGTTGGTTATTCATATGAGGCTGAATTTATTGTTAACGAATACCTTCAAAACTTCCAAATTCAGATTCAGATACAATGACAAGTTATTGACCACGTCGACTGTATAAACCCTCCTCAGCCTGAAATAAATGTCACTACAGGTTTGTCTTCATCAGCTGCTGTCACTATCTTTACTTGCAACATGAACAACAGGGAGGGCTTACAACTCAGCTATACGATAACCGTGAAGACTTCTATTTTCCTATCGTGAATTTCACCTTCCTTGATATTAACGTCCCTGCTTCCCCCAGCTACATTGTTTACATGTCGTAGTTGATTTGGTTTTCAAGAGATTGGTCCGATTATCATGATTTGCGTTATAGATGTCGACTGTTGACGGACAAACATACAACAAAGGTTGTTTCGAGGACCTTGGTATAGGTTTTGGTTGTTATTATAATTTCATTAGGAAAGATGTGTTTTCCTTGTGGAATATGTGCGATTTTTTTTTTATTAAGCCAATTAGTGTGGCTTACTGTTCCGTTATAGTTTTCCCCCGTTCTTGATAATTGACAATACTTGGGCTCGACCTTAGTTTACATGGTGAGTATCTCTGAAAAAGCAAAAGACTTTTTCCTGTCCAGATCACCTGTTTATATTTTTCTTGTACGTCTTCATGTGTCTCAATTGAACTATTTTCTACGTTAACATTTTGGCCTAGTGTTATTGATTTTGAATTTGAATGAAGTGTTTGTTGGCATTGGCAATTCTCTTACCGTTTTATTGAGTTTAAGTCTCCCGAAACTTGATCTGCGCCTTTTTAAAAGTTTTGATAAAAGAGAAAAATAATAAATAAATACATCTTACATTACAATATATAAGCACATCAATAAAATATGACTATTTTATCGACAAAATTGTGCCAAATCGTTTGAAGATATTTTTGAGGCTTTATGTCAAGGTAAAAGTTTATATTCATCGGTGAAGGAAATAAAGATTTTTCCAATATTTAATATTTTGTATTATTTCTGAAGTGTTTGATGAGCAAAAATATTGCTTTCACGTAATACATGTAACTATTCTTACTGTTCTCAGGTTACACAAAATATTTATGCATAAGTCATTGAATGATGCGCCGCGTGCAGGCCTATAAAATATATAGATACCATTAATATATGCGGAATTATTCATACTTGAACAATGAACAATATTTGTTGAAAAATCTGTGTGGGCAGGTCTCCGTGTATACCAGCAATATGTCCTAATATCAAAGTTTAGAATAACATCGCCTGTTCATGTAATAAGTATATAATTTAATCTTGCTTTTAACAAGCATCTTCATTGGCTTAAAAAATTATGTTATCAGCCCATAACGTAAAGAAATGACGTTGCCGTTTGTTACGTCGCTTTTGATTGACTGATACAGCGGCATAATACTTTCTAAGAGAAAATGGTCCAATAATAAAAGTAGATTCCACATGGGGTTATTAATTGTAGACTAAATTACAAGGATTGACTTGAATATATTTTTTCACCTGTTTGCTATACCTGTTTTGATGGGACAAAACGAACATTTTTGCAGCAGTATATAGTTTTGACCAATTCATAATGTAATGCATTCTTACATGCCAGTAACGAGTTAATTTTGATAAAAGGTAAAGTGCTAAATAAGACAAAAAAAAGTATCAAATACATTTGACAGAAACTAGAACATATGAGTTCTCTATATTTATTTATGACGTCATCTATCCGTCTGCTCGTCAAAAGCACCGTTAATGACATTGTTAAACATATATTTGAGACATCATGATACACCGATTCAAATAACAGAACACAGTTGGTAACCTTAATTCTAATTAACTGTAGCTAAGGGTTTCAGTTAAATGACACAATGGTCTGTTTCCTATAAAACTCATTCATATAATAATTTGTATAACGCCATATCTTAGAAGCAAGGTACTGTAGATAAAAATATTTTTGAAAATATGTTGGCTGCGTATAATACATGGCTTTATACCTTTGATTATCCTTTTGTCAGAACTATGTGACCGAGTTGGTGTTATGCTTTGGTTTTCCTGTAGACATCTTCTAGACATTAGCTGTTGCGAGGACTCGAACCCCGAACAAGTCAGTAGACGTTTTAATATAATATTATTTAGACAGATGTTAATTACCTTATCATGTATGCAAATGTCTGTGTATTGCTGCTTGACCTTCATTGTAACTTAAACTTAGTGCCGTATAAAGTTAATAAAAAACAAGTTGACAGTGCTAATTTTCCCCCTTTTCGTCCTTGATGAATAATGTTAATAATGTTTGGTAATCGATTAGCTGGTGTATCAAAAAACCAAACTAATAATCTGTGATCTATCTCTTGATCTAGTGATAGATAACCCACTTATATCCAAGTCAATAGATCCTAGACACACTTCCAGGCAAATATATATAATACAAAGATCGACACCGTCTCTGACACAGAATGTGTCGTAATTATTGTGTTTTATATCATCGCCAGGTCATGTCTTCCCGCGTGTGAAAGCATTCCAGAAAATGGCCGCGATTGTGTTGATTCAGCTGAATGGCGAGGGCTCAAGTATTTCCTGATTCTGTTGTTGTTGGGTAGACATATACAAGCACGTGGACAGACCAAGGTTACTCTGACCCACAATCACAGAGAAAAAAAGGCCAATGCGAAAAAAAGGACATTACTGGTAGCATTATCCATTTTTTGTGATTTTTTGTTTGTTCTCTATTTTCGTTATTTTTTTTGCAATCTTAACTTGAAGCCATTTCCTTTTCATTTAACAAACGTTAGGAAAGTCTAATAATCCAATGATATCATATATATACAAATCTAAATAACTACCCACCTTCCTTAGCAGTCGGTTGTGGTATGGCAAGATAATCTGGTTAAATTTTGTGACATGCAATGATTTCAACATATTCCCATAGACCATATTTATGTCGCTATCGTGAACAAATATTCACATCCCACGATACACGGCCAGCAGAGCAGTATTCGTGTAGTTTGACCTATTAGACAGTGGCTTCCATAAATTGTCGGATATACAGTAACTTACCAAGGGACCTAAAATTTGCATTGATTGGCAAAGGAGCGAGATTGCAAGTTTCTTAAATACACAGCATTGAATAAGACTGTATTCGGCATTGCGGAAGGACAAATCGGCCCATTCATGTAACAAAAAAAATAAACAAAAAATATCAGTACTCGTTTGGATATCCAAATACATTAAATTATCTGTAATCCTTCGGATATCCAATCCACCTTTAATTACCTGTACTCCTTCGGATACCAAAACCACCTCTCGAAATCACCTGTACTCCTTCGGATACTCAATCCACCTTTAATTACCTGTACTCCTTCGGATACCAAATCCACCTAAAATTACCTGTACTCCGTCGGATTCCCAATCCACCTTTAATTACCTGTTCTCCTTCGGATACCAAATCCACCTAAAATTACCTGTACTCCTTCGGATATCCAATCCACCTTTAATTACCTGTACTCCTTCGGATATCCAATCTACCTTAAATTACCTGTACTCCGTCGGATTCCCAATCCACCTTTAATTACCTGTTCTCCTTCGGATACCAAATCCACCTAAAAAACCTGTACTCCTTCGGATACCAAATCCACCTAAAATTACCTGTACTCCTTCGGATATCCAATCCACCTTAAAAAACATGTACTCCTTCGGATATCCAATCTACCTTAAATTTTCTGTGCTCCTTCGGATACTAAGTTCACCTAAAAAGATCGCCACCTCCTTGTTCCAGATAACTTTATTTTTTTAATTTTTCTATCGTATCTCCAATGGCTATTCTCTCATTCCTTGTCAATCTCATTTTCATTCAGAAACCCTTCTTTGGCCTGCTACCCTTATCTACCTGTAAACATTGACTCGCGGCATTTCTAGTTAGGTACACCATACATAAAATAATTGAAAACAATATTTTCAAGTCATTGATGAAATATAACATCTTTGCAGATTTAGGTTACAGCACAATATATTTAATTACTTAATATCCAATGCATTATTGTCTATCTGTGGCAGATCGAGACAATTTCGAGATATGTGTCCGGTAAATATTACTCATCATTCCATTAACAACAGAATATAATAACAACACAATGAGTTTTTGTAAATATTGTTTAATATATTCTGTCTATTTTTCCAATATGTACACATCTATTTAACATCATGCTATGAATATTTTACATTTCGAAAATCGTCCGGACCAGGAAATGTTCATAGATTATATAATATATATATATATATATATATATANATATATATATATATTATGTTTACATGGTGCTACATTCATCTTAAAATTCAATTGAATAAATATTTACATGCTAACAATCAGGCTGACAAATCTTCTAGGTCAGTAGGACTACGCGGCAAGTATCGATACTGCCGGATAGCCACCTGCTCGGTCCTTAAACAGCAAGGATTATCTAACAAAAAGACCGAGCCCGAGCATAAAACGATTCCATTTTCCGTTCCACATTGGCCTATGTACTTTACAGAGTATTTAATCGCTCACAAAGATATGTAGTGTCGAGGTGGACAGATTTTAGGACAGTTTCATCGTTAGCTACAATAATTAGAACACCTACCCACGTGTGCGTGCGGAGATGTAGTATAAGGAACCTCTCCCACGAAGCAGAAGATCTGGGTAAAGTGACAGCAACACGCACGTTAGGACAAGACATTTTAATGTTTGAGATTTTTTTTCTTTTTCTAAACACGTGTTGACACGAAAGGTTCAATTTTCGGAAATGATCTAAACATACCTTTTATTGACGTCAAACACAGGTGCAATACCGATTTAAATGGTTTTGAAGAGAACGTGTGTATTTAACGCGAAATAAGCACTACAACCTTATCTAGAAATCTTCGAAATGTTTTCTTTATTTGTTAAGTATCAACAGTCTATTGACACAATAGTGTATTACATTTATTGTGTATTCGATTGTTCTATCGTAAGACCCTTTGTGAAATCTTCGACGTCCAAGAGTCTTCGGACCTGCTAGGGACCATTTTTCATTACGAATAACGTTATCAAAACTAAACAACAAAAAGCGGAATATAACTATACGATCCTATGTATCGATGGACAGCGTTTTAAAAGTTCGTTGTGTTGGGTTCAAGTCGTCGACAGTATTTAATAACAAGCGGAGTTTCCATAATAGATTATGGATTGAGGCGAGTCGAATCCTTTCCAATGATCATGGATTAACCGATGTTAACAATCTACTACGGGTTGAAGGTTTTAACGAATGACAAATCTCTACAAGAATCACTGTTTATTGAGTGTCGGATCTTTACATTGAGTCATGGATTAGCGAATGTAAAATAGCTACAAATGGTCGTAGATGAACAACTGTACAGATTTAGATTATTTTGATAGACATTGCCAATCTTGAGGCGAACCTTAGATCGAATGCGGGGAATTTAGTTATAAATAGAAAACAAATTGTGTAATGGCGAAATACGGTCTGGGAATTGTCATTTGTCTTTAAACTCCAATGGTGTTTAATCTTATTTTAAGTGTTATTTTTTTCTATTTGCTCACTTTAATTGATAAATTTAGGTTAGTACATGTAAGAGTAAGATTACAGAAATAAAAAAAAGCGTTTTCCACAGTCTGACCGGCAGCTGTTACTAACAAAAAAGAACTAAGAAATAAGAACAGGCAGGAAGAAATAGGGACAAGCGGCGATATCTAAATGAACAATGCTTGAAATATGACTATTTAATGATCTAATTAAAATTATATTTCATTCCAAACTATTTCGATGAAAAAACGACGTCATCAGAAATAGACTGCCTTAATGATGAAAGGAAGGACATTAATCAGACTGTAGGTAATTATCTTTCTATACTGCTGCAGTGGTCGGGCTCGCTGTCACAGCTTTTATAGACAAACATTGGTATTTGTAGACATGGTTTGCCGCCGGTTAAGGAAACATTTGCGTCTTGTTAAGACGTCTATAGTGTTACCAGTGGGACCGTGCACCGACCGTTGGCGGCCAGCACGCAGCCGTATTCATCCCCTTATTTGGCAGGTGTTGCTTTTAATTAGATATTACCTCTAGCAATTGGAATATTTGAGAAAATATGACACTAAAAATTGTTCAGCAGGACGATTTTGCAGAAATAAACCCAACTTTCTCTCTAGTGAACGTAATCATGGTAACTGAAATGCATTTTTGGGGGAAATTATGCGTGTAGTGTAGCTGTCCTGCAAGCACAAATTGTATAATGCTGCAGCCAGGAAGTAAATGTGGTATAATACTGCTGTCAGCAAGTACGTATGACATAATACTGGTCTCAGTAAGTACTATATTACTGCTATCAGTAGTAAGACTGGATTTCACAACTAGCATGGCTGCAATGTAAATTGGCATACTTTTCATCGACAATGTGCAGTATGAAACATTTGTTTTCTCTATTTGGGCGCATCCACTTGGTATGCATACACAAGACGACTGATTTGATATTGTCAATGTGGCGCTTGGCAGTTTGCTTCAAATAATGGAGAACATGTTTGCTTCAATAGCTCAAGTGGCTAAAATTGTTGGAGTGCTTTTCTCGTCAAAACGCAATAAAGGAAAGTAGCGAGCCTTTTCAACTAAATCACCGGTAGCTGATTTTGTTAAATGTACTACAAATTATATGCTATATTGAATGCTTTCGTTACCGGTATTAACGGAAACAGCTGACATCACTATTCACCATGAAGCAATCGCACGATGATACATTAAAGCTATGTACGTCCGATGTGGTATATATACAATCTACCTGGTCAAATTGATTTAATTGGGCTTTGAACGCAATGGGATCGGTGTCATTTTGATGCTTCTCCTTCTCATTCGCATAACGGGAGAAACAAACAGTCAGGTGACACTTGACTGTTAAAGAAACATTATTTGCACTGACGATAAAGACGTTTTTTTTAAAAAAAAAATGTTAGGGAAATATTAAATGTTTTGAACTGTATTTTTCATATTCAGGCTGTTACCAAGTCTGTTACATACATATTTACCATGAGGTCTAGCGGAAAAAATATACAGTTCAATCCAATCAGAGAAATACAAAAATCCTTATTTATAAATGATAAATTATGCCTGCACACTATCAACTAGATAATTGGTTTGCAAGTAAAACGATTTATCTTAAGCGCAAAAATATGCATTACAGCATATTACATTTTGTTAATACGACACTACATAATTAAATTGAGACAAAGAAAAAAATACATTATTATGTTCATCCTTTTTTGACAATATGTTGGAAGTAGCGTTTGGTTTCCATCCGAAAACGATGTCCTGTAGCGAGGTACAGATAGAAGTTACAGACATAATGAGATATCCCAATCGCATACACGGCCTCGCGAACAACCATATACTTAAAATGACTCTGCCATACTGGGTCTTGAGAAACGTTTTCATAAACCTCGGGATTGGGAGGAAAGAAATCCCCGAGAGCGTAAAGAATCGTCACTGGCAGTGTCGTAAATATGAGATAAAAAGACACAACAAGAAGCATTTCTGTCGTAGCCGATCTGTGCTTTGGTGGTGAACCATACAGATGGCGCGCTCGACGTTTTGAACGACGGATAGTGAATATTAGGAGAACGTTCATGCCGAGAATCATAACGGGGACCAGAATAAACATTGTAGATTCTGTAATCCATGTCCAGTGTTTCCTAAACTCATCGATGCCGATTCTGATATCACAGGCATGGTGTGTGTAATCATAATCCCAAATATAGGCCTGTATCCCCCCAGCAACCAAGACGAACAGTGCCAGAAACAGTATCACCATGGCAGCCCTCTTCACCGTACAGTAAATCCGACGTCCAAGAGGAAACCTTACTGAAATAAACCGCTCGACAGTGAATGCCATTGTCAACAAAGGCGACATGTACTGCACCGCCATGTAAATAACCGGAAACGCCTGGCAGACGACGGGTACACCAATGGTCTTGATCTCCCATATGTACTCAAGATCAAACATCATGGAAAGAACAAGAAACAGAAGGTCCGAGATCGCCAGTGACGCGAGGTAACAACCTGAAGAGTGGAGTAGGGGGCGCTGTAACCACATGATACACGCCAGGATGTTGCCAGGAAAGCCGAATACGTACATGATGGCCTTTACTATCTTTGGAATCTCGTATATCACGGGTAAATGCTCTTTGTAGATCACGTGCATCGCCATAAATGTCTGCGTGGTAGCGTCCTCCAGACTGGATGTTGACGAAATGTTCCATGATTCTGTCGTGCCGTTCATCTGAAATGAAAAAGAGACCAAACTGTCATGACGATCAGGCAACGTTAGGTATAAAGTGTCTAGACTGTTCAAGTCACGACAATGTTTCACAAAGTAAATAATCACTTCCCAGAAGCTGTTCAGGACCAAGCATTACCACTCGGTAAGCATATGATCGAGTTACACGCTTGCGCTCGCCTAAGAGCAATGTACGACTCGCTGAATGTGTACGAATTTATAAGGTGACGTTAATGTCTCGATATACAAGTCTCGTGCTCTGTAAACACGTTGCTTTATCGGCAGTAAATCACCAAACAACTCTAGATAATGTTTTTTTAGCCCATTCATTCTTGTTTAAACCAATTTCCAGCCGTTTCTATCTGTCGTTAGTTTCTATAGAAACGACAGTATTCAGCTTGCTAGCCTTTACAGGGGACACTTTTAGTAAGTAATGATAGAAGGTTTAATTAAGATACAGTTCTATATGAAGCTTAATCGAGTAACGTTCAGTTCAGTTGAAGTATTGACAAGCATTGTAATAATTAGACATTGACTCACTAGATGTCACCTAAATATTTGGGTAATTTATGCATGCCTCATTGAAGCGTTACGATGCAGTGATTTGACCTTTGACACCAAGACATGATGTTGACCTTTCACTTTCGGACACGAGGAAACATGATGTATCCAACCGTGATTTTAGTGATCTGACCTTTGACTCCTAACTGACTGCACAGAGTAAGGTTGTCTGCTACACATCGTCTATGTGAAGGAACAAGGCTCATCGAATGGACATTTTGACGCTTTTTATGCTATATTTATCAAAGTACAATTTTTCAAGAAAGAATGACTATTGAACAATGGACTTGTAATACAATAATTGCGTCAAAGCATTAAGGTAGTTTAAGCATTATTTAAAGTCATTTATGCAAGAAAGCATATCGTTAACTAGGTGCTGGTAGAGACATTTTACTTTTGAATTCACGTGACTTTCAGGTCCAAATACTAATAGAGCGAACCCTGGATGTTTATCGTCAATCCGGTTGGGTTTGTGCAAACGGGAATAAATATTTCTCAAGGATGACACTCAGTAACATTGTGGTTTTCAAAGACAACATGTTGATTGATGCAACACATGTAAATGAGAAAAAAACACAGAAGCTTGCTAAAAATGGCGCTTACACGTTATGTATCATGGTATAAGACAATTGACAAAATAACCCAAAAGGAGAGTATAGCAACCAAAAATTACATCGGCGCTGGTGGCAGTGAATTGAGGTGGCTTACCGGCAAGAAAAGCTGTATTCGTAACAATATGTTGATCTTCAAAGCAGTTTTCATCGTTTTGTAATATTACCACAAAGTATGGATTGTGTGTGTGAAGATCTGATAATGACACCTCCCCTCCCTCCTAACAACCCGATCCCCAGCTAATTGCGTTCCTTTATTTATTTTATTTTATTATTTATTGAAAAAAGGGGAAAAGGTAAATGGCTTTGAACTCTTTAAAAAATCTGTAAAATCTTTTAGCATTGAAATAATTTGTGGGCTTTCTATGCCAATTCTGAGCTCTTTAGATGTATTATTAAACAATCACTCTATGACCACGACAGGAAGTGTCTAAAAGGAGACTTTAACCACATGTCGTTTGCCCCGTGAAATATCGACTATAGACTCAATAAGCATTCGACCATATTCATGTGAGCGCCAGCATATCTTTGCCAACTTAAATACACATCAGTATGAATATCCTCATGAATACCTTAGCGAAACATATCAGAAAAAAAGTAATAGAGCACTCGAGAGATACCAAATATAGGATTGATAAAAAAAACGACATGCAAACAGATCGATTAGGAATATCGTTGGGAGAGAAAGAAACGTAGACATATGTAAAGCTGTTTTATTATTTACTTTTTACATTTTTTTCTTTTATATATTTAACACATTAATTGAATTAAACTATAATTCTAACATGACATTTACCTATGACTGAAATTCAACAGTTAATAATTAAGCACATTGTCCGTAGGATATGGAAAATGCGTAAACACAACTCCTTGTCTAAGGTTAATATACAATAATTAAGTACAGCTCCTTGTGTAGTGTTAAAGGGTCATAAAAAAGGTTGACAGACACAGACAATAAAATATTACAGATCCATGCAACTTGTTATAGGTACATGTATTTCATAATATATAAATTACAGCTCCTCATCTACATATAAGTCAATATACGTAAATAAAGTTCCTTAGCTGCTGAGCGTTATATACGATAATTAAGTACATCGCGTTGTCTATGGGCCTAAGACGATACGTACAATACAAATACATGGTACAGATCTTTGTCTAAGGCCAATAGACAATAAATAAGTGCGGCTATTTTCTTGTCTGAGAGCTGAGTCATATATAATGAATACTTACAGTTCCGTGCATTTAGCTGTAAGTAATTTACAATGCGTATATTTAATACTGTTTCTGGGCTAAGCGGAGACAATAAGTAAATACACTTCCTTGGCAGTGAACAATGCGTTAATTAAGTATACCACAATGTCTCAGGGCCATAGAAAACTAGTACAGTATAAGTGCAGTCGTTTGACTGAGGTTAAAAGGCAATAATTAAATGCAGTTCCCTGGTTGGCAGTCATTAAGCCGAGGGCTATAGACAATGAGTAAGTATAACCCTATGGCCGATGGCTATAGACAATGAGTAAGTATACCATCATGGCCGAGGGCTATGTACAATGGGTAAGTATAACCCCATGGTCGAGGGATATAGACAATTAGTAAGTATAACATCATGACAGAGGGCTATAGACCATTAGTAAGTTTTAACCAATGGCCGAGGGCTATAGACAATGAGTAGGTATAGTATAACTCCATGGCCGAGGGCTATAGACAATGCGTAAGTATAATCCCTTAGCCGAGGGCTATAGACAATGAGTAAATATAACCCCATAGTCGAGGGCTATAGACAATGAGTAAGTACAATTAGTAAGTATAACCCCATGGCCGTGGGCTATAGACAATGATTAAGTATAACCCCATTGCCGAGGGTTATAGACAATTAGTAAGTATAACAACATGGCCGAGGGTTATAGACAATTAGTAAGTAAAACAACATGGCCGAGGGCTATAGACAATGAGTAAGTATAACCCCTTGGCCGAGGGCTTTAAACAATGCGTAAGTATAGTATAACTGCTTGGCCGATGGCTATAGACAATGAATAAGTATAACCCCGTAGCCGGGTGCTACAAACAATGAGTAAGTATAACCCCCTGACCGAGGGCTTTAGACAATGCGTAAGTATAGTATAACTGATTGGCCGATGGCTATAGACAATCAATAAGTATAACCCCATAGCTGGGTGCTACAGACAATGAGTAAGTATAACCCCCTAAACGAGGGCTTTAGACAATGCGTAAGTATAGTATAACTGATTGACCGATGGCTATAGACAATCAATAAGTATAACCCCATAGCCGAGGGATATAGACAATCAATAAGTATAACCCCATGGCCGAGGGATATAGACAATCAATAAGTATAACCCCATAGCCGGGTGCTACAGACAATGAGTAAGTATAACTCCTTGGCCGAGGGCTATAGACAATGAGTAAGTATAACTCCTTGACCGAGGGCTATAGACAATGAGTAAATATAACCCCTTAGCCAAGGGCTATAGACAATGCAGAAGAATAACCCCTTGACCGGGGACTATAGACAATAAGTAAGTATAACTCCTTGGCAGAGGGATATAGACAATGAGTAAGTATAACCCCATAGTCGAGGGCTATAGACAATGAGTAAGTACAATTATTAAGTATAACCCCATAGCCGAGGGATATAGACAATGAGTAAGTATAACTCCGAGGCCGAGGGCTATAGACAATTAGTAAGTATAACCCCATGGACGAGGGCTATAGACAATGAGTAAGTATAACTCCTTGGCCGAGGGCTATAGACAATTAGTAAGTATAACACCAAAGCCGAGGGCTATAGACAATGAGTAAGTATAATCCCTTAGCCGAGGGCTATAGACAATGAGTAAGTGTAACTCCTTGGCCGAGGGCTATAAACAATGAGTAAGTATAACTCCTTGGCCGAGGGCTATAGACAATGAGTAAGTATAACCCCATGGCCGAGGGCTATAGACAATGAGTAAGTATACCATCATGGCCGAGGGCTATGCACAATGAGTAAGTATAACCCCATTGCCGAGGGTTATAGACAATTAATAAGTATAACAACATGGCCGAGGGCTATAGACAATTAGTAAGTATAACACCAAAGCCGAGGGCTATAGACAATGAGTAAGTATACCATCATGGCCGAGGGCTATGCACAATGAGTAAGTATAACCCCATTGCCGAGGGTTATAGACAATTAATAAGTATAACAACATGGCCGAGGGCTATAGACAATGAGCAAGTGGAACTCCTTGGCCGAGGGCTATAGTCAATGAGTAAGTGTAACTCCTTGGCCGAGGGCTATAAACAATGAGTAAGTATAACTCCTTGGCTGAGGGCTATAAACAATGAGTAAGTGTAACTCCTTGACCGAGGGCTATAAACAATGAGTAAGTATAACTCCTTGGCCGAGGGCTATAGACAATGAGTAAGTATAGCTCCTTGGCCGAGGGCTATAAACAATAGGTAAGTACAGATACATGGCTGTGCAGTGTAAGGACCATATAAGTATTAAGGATAGGCCCTTTGTCTGTTGACCTAGATCATAGCAAATATAGTAAATTCAAAAGCAAGATTGGTAAAATAACACCGATTTTTTGAGAGTAGACAGGTTTTAATAAACTGTTATATGACACAAGTAATACGTACAGAGACCAATAATGGGACTAAATATCAAAACTGTGTATAAAGAATTTTGGTTAAGACAGGGGCCGGTTTACAAGAGTATATTATTCATGGCACTGAAGCTTTACAATTAGAGGAAACCGAAAGTGACATATATTTTCGTATATCCCCCCCCCCCCCAATATTTAGTAAATATTGCAATCACAA